GGCCGGGAACAAGGACTGGGAGTATTTCAGCATCGACGCCGTCAGCGGGCTGATCCAGACGGCCATGCGGCTGGACCGGGAGAAGCAGGCGGTGTACAACGTGAGGATGGTCCCTGGGCTGGGCTGGTGGGATGCAGGCCATGCGGCGGGGACGGTGGAAAGCTGGCCCCGTGGTGGAGATGTCACACCACCACCTTAGCAAGGAGCCAGGTGGTTAGCAAGCGCCAGCAGAGGATGCAACGGGGATGTGGTGTGATTGGGAGGTGGGCCACCAGGAGAGTTGCATCCTGGAGGACGTGGTGGGCCAGCTCCTGGCTCAATTCCACAAAAGCCCTCTCGCGCCCAGCCGTCCCCTCTTTGTCCCTGCCTCAGCGATGTCTCCGCACCCTCCTTGCCGCCGTGGCTTTGCCCAGGACGGCGCTTTTGCCTCTCTCCCCAGCTGATCATCGTGGCCAGCGACCAGGGCCAGCCCGCCTACGAGACCATGCAGCCCCTCCAGGTCGCGCTCGATGACATCGATGACAACGAGCCCATCTTCCTCAGGCCTCCCGTAAGGCACCGGGGAGGGCACAGGGGTGCCAGGCTGGGGACACACATGGTGGAGCACGCGCCACTGGACATCACCGCGGGGTGCACGATGGCGTTTGTCCACTTCCAGCCTTTCAAAGCCTAAAAAAAAGCCCCCCAAAGCTCACGTGCTGCAGTAACCCTCCCCTCCCTTTTCCCGTGCTCCGGCAGAGGGACAGTCCCCAGTACCAGGCGCTCTCCGTCCCCGAGCACTCTCAGCCCGGCACGGTGGTGGGCAATGTCACCGGGGCGGTGGACGCGGATGAGGGCTCCAACGCCATCGTCTACTACTTCATAGCAGGTGAGGTGGGGACAGAACGGCACAGCTGGGCGAGGAAGGGGGCGATTGCCGTCCCAACGAGGGTTTGCCTTGCACCTGGTGGCTGCTTGCTGTGCTTCTAAGGGGGTAAATGAGATGCGGAACCAAAAAGTTGGTAACTCGCTGTCTACACGCAGCTGGGAACCGGGAGAGCAACTTCCAGCTGAGCCGGGAGGGGAAGCTGCAGGTCCTGCGGGACCTGGACCGCGAGAAGGAGCCCTTCTACTCCCTCATCGTCAAAGCCTCCAGCCAGAGGAACTGGTCCCCGCCCCGGGGCCAGCGCGCGGGCAAGGCACAGCCCTGGGACCTCAGCACGGACCTGACCCTTCAGGAGGTGCGGATCTTCCTGGATGACATCAATGACCAGTCCCCACAGTTCACCAAGTCGGAGTACACGGCGGGTAAGGGGTGCCTGGGGCCGGTGGGGGGCACCTGGAGCCAGGGATGCTCCAGGACCAGTCCAGCTGGTAGGGGGAGCAGCCCAGCCCCAGGTCTCTGTCCCGTCTCTCTCCCAAAGGGGTTGCCACAGATGCCAAGGTGGGATCGGAGCTGATCCGGGTCGTGGCGGTGGATGCCGACGTGGGCAACAACAGCCTGGTCCTCTACAACATCCTGGGGATCCGCTACATCAAGCAGCACTCCAACGACTCGGAGGAGGTGGCCAACATCTTCAGCATCGGTGAGTAGCCTGCGTGCCACAAAAGCATGGCCCAGGGAGGTTCCCATGGCTGAAGATGTCCCCCCCAGGGCCATGGTCACCATCAGCATGGCCAACTGCTGTTCCTCCATCCTCTTTTATTCACCCGCGAGGCAGGCTCTGGCTTTGTGAGAGCTGCTGTAGGTCATCTGCCAAGCCCTGGTTTGCAGGTCCCTTCATGGGGACCTCACGTGGGTGGCTCAAAGTGACTGCACTAACCCTGGGCTTGTGGCCATCCTTCCCCCAGGAACCCTTGATGGGATCCTGAGAACCTTTGACCTCTTCACGGCCTACAACCCTGGCTACTTCGTGGTGGACATCATGGCCTCGGACCTGGTTGGCCACAACGACACGGCCATCGTGGGGATTTACATCCTGAGGGATGACCAGCGGGTGAAAATCATCATCAACGAGATCCCCGACAAGGTCAGGCAGTTTGAGGAGGAGTTCATCAGCCTGCTCTCCAACATCACGGGCGCCATCGTCAACACAGACGATGTGCAGGTAACCGGCTGCCTTCGAGGCTGCTTCGAGGGGGAGGTAACCTCACACACGAGCACACCTTGGAGCACGCTTGGAGATGGCTCAGGAGGCGAGACCTTGGTCCTGCTGTCTCTCCCCAGTTCCACGTCGACAAGAAAGGCCGGGTGAACTTTGCACAGACCGAGCTGCTGATCCACGTGGTGAACAGGGACACCAACCGCATCTTGGACGTGGAGCGGTACGCCGCCCGGCCCGCCGCGTGCACGTGGGGAGCCCCCCATGCACCAAGACGCCCACCCACCCTCCTCTCCGCAGGGTGATTCAGATGATCGACGAGAACAAGGAGCAGCTGAGGAACCTCTTCAGGAACTACAACGTGCTGGACGTGCAGCCCGCCATCACGGCCCGGGCCCCGGATGACCTGTCGGCCCTGCAGGTGAAGGTCCAGCTGGAGCTGCAGGCGGCCACCCCGAGGCCCCGGGGAGCTGCTGGCCCCAAATAACCGCGGTGGGGTGCCCACAGCTGTGTGCTGGATCAGTGCTGGAGGTTGCCGCTAGCCCTCTGTCTCTCCCAGATGGCGATCATCGTGCTGGCCGTGCTGCTCTTCCTGGCCGCCATGCTCTTCATCCTGATGAACTGGTACTACCGCACCGTGTGAGTGGCGCCCTGCGGACCCGCACCTCCTTCTCCCTTATTCTCCACCCGAATTTGCCATATTTCCTTTTTTTTTTTATTTTTATTTTGCAGGCACAAGAGGAAACTGAAAGCCATCGTGGCTGGCTCCACAGGTGAGCAGCAGCCAGGCTCCGTGCCACCAGCCCCCATCCCGGCGTGTCTCTCGCACCACCAGAGCCCTTTTGGTCACTTTTTGGGTTTTCCCCCATGAAGAAGCACTGCCCCATGCCCACATCCATTTGCTACTCGGCTGGGCAACCTCCACTCTGCTTTTTGCAGGGAACAGAGGCTTCATGGACATCATGGACATGCCCAACACCAACAAGTACTCCTTTGACGGGTGAGTTCTCCCCACCCCTCTGCTCCCCACCTCGCTACCCGGTACGTGGTGGGACCCAAGGGTGCTCCCAAAGGGGACACCCACCTTTTACAGCCAGGGATGCAGCCTCTACTTGGTGGAGGGACTCAGCTGGGCATTTGGGGTGTGCTGTGAGTGCTGAGTCCCACTCCTGTCCCCGGCAGGGCCAACCCGGTGTGGCTGGACCCCTTCTGCCGCACCATGGAGCTGGCGGCGCAGGCGGAGCGCGAGGACGACCTGCCCGAAAACCTGAGCGAGATCACAGACCTATGGAACAGCCCGGCCAGGACCCACGTGAGATGGTGGCCCCAACCCCTCTGGCAGGCTCGCTTCTATCCCCGTTGCCCCACACACGTCCCCCATGCCGCGCTCTCCTCCTGCAGGGCACCTTCGGCAGAGAGCCCTCGGCCGCCAAGCCCGAGGACGACCGCTACCTGCGTGCCGCCATCCAGGAGTACGACAACATCGCCAAGCTGGGGCAGATCATGCGGGAGGGCCCCATCAAGGTGAGCGGCCCCCACCGCCGGGCACCCCTCACCAAGGGGCTGCCCTCGTTTTTTTTCCCCGCTCTGGCTTCCAGGTGCCGCACCGGAGGGTGATAGTGCTGCGAGAAACACCAGGATGGGGCTGATTGCCCCCCAAAAAAAAGAGCTGTGTCCCTGGTGTAACCCATCCTCTCTCCCCGTTCACCCAGGGCTCTCTCCTGAAGGTGGTCCTGGACGATTACATGCGCTTGAAAAGGCTCTTTGCCCAGCGGATGGTGCATAAGGCCACCGCCAGTCAGGGGGACCGCTCCTCGGTCACAGAGGTAGACGGGGCGTGCGGGGGCATGGGGAGATGCTTGCCGTGCCCTTTGGGATGCAGTGTGTCTTCCCAGCCCCGCAGGCTGTGGCTGCTGGTGACTCCCCCACCCGGTGTGGAAAACCGCTCCCCAAAATGAGCAAAACAACATATTTCCAGCTGGGGGAGAGATCACAGCCTCACGGAGGAAGAGGAGGGTCGGGTGCCTCCCGCTGGGCACCGCAGAGGGAAGTTGGGACGCGTGGTGACATCTCCGTGGGCTTTTTGCAGCTCATCCAGAAGGACCTGGAGGAGGAGGAGGAGGAGCGCAGCCCCAGCCAGGGCAGCCTGCGCTTTCGGCACAAGCAGCCGGTGGAGCTGAAGGGTCCCGACGGCATCCACGTGGTGCACGGCAGCACGGGCACGCTGCTGGCCTCCGACCTCAACAGCCTGCCCGAGGACGACCAGAAGGTGCTGGGGCGCTCGCTGGAGACTCTGACCGCCGACTGCGGGGGCTACGGCGACCACAACGCCCGCACCGAGTCGGCCAAGTCCACCCCCCTGCACAAGATGCGGGAGGTGATCATGGAGAGCCCGCTGGAGATCACTGAGCTATGACCAGCGGGGCCCCTCGAGGCCGGCCGGGGGCGGCAGGGGACGAGCACGGAGCTGGGGGGCACAGCGGGGCCGGGGGCACCCCAAGACCGGCACTCGGCCCCCCCAATCCCCTGCGTTTCAGTCCAGCAGCCTTGGAGAGCTTGGCCCTGGGAAAGGGCTCTCAGGACCAGTTTGCTCTTCCTTGCGTCTCATTTACCCATTAAACCATTAATTTTTTTTTATTTTTCGTATTAAAAATAAGAAAAAAAAAAGGATTTTTTTTAATTAATACTAATGCTGAGCGAATGCAACGAATCCAAGCGTTACGAGGCTGGACGGGGGCGAAGGAGCAGCGTGGCCTCGAGGCTTCGGGGAGCCCCGACGAGCTGCCCGCCCCCCAAAAAACCACGCTGGGGACCAAAACCCATCGCACCTCGACCGCAGGACCGGGGGGGCTGGGTGAGAGCCCATTACCGTGTGTCGTCACCTTTCCGGCAAGGAAAGACCAAAACCGAAGACATTTCTCCATTTTTGCTGGCTTTACCAAAATGTGTTACGACGTGGAAAAAGAGAGAGAGACTGACAATAGCGGGGGGGGCTTCTGGCTGTCGAGTGTTCGTGTGTATCCTTCCTTCCCCTTCCCCTTCTCTCTTGCTTTCGGGTTTGTTCGTTTGGGGTTTGCTTCCCACCGTAACCTTGTGGAGAGTTTTGGGAATGGTCTGTCGCGGGAATCAGAAATACACTCTCTATGGCTTTGGTTAAACTGTCTGTCGTCCTTCCTCCCTGGCCGTGCCTCCGGCAGCAAACACAGACTAAACAGATTAAACACGAGATTAGGCATCTCACGGCCAAGCCGCCTTTTAAAAAGAAATCCCTTTTTTTTTTCTTTTTTTTTTCTTCCATTAATTCATCTCTCTCCAGCCGTTCTCGCATCCCACGCCGCAGCAGCCCAGTTTGGGGGGAGAACCATTAAACCCCCCTTAAGGGGCATCGCCCCGGGAACAAGGAGGAGGGAGACGAGAGCCGGGCTGACGGGAAGGGTTTATTTGTGGTGCAATGCTCGTGGCCACGCTCGGCACCGGGCACCGCGGGCGTCCCCTTCCCGCGGCGGGGTGGGGACGAGCCAGCATCCCGCCGCCCCTCGCTGCCACGGTTTCGGCACCAGGATCCCCTTCAGGGGTTTTTTGCTGGGAAGGAAACCCCCCAAACTCACTCATTTGTTCAGGGGATGCTTAAAATATCTATCTATATAATATCCAGCTGGCTGCGGCGCTGTGTCCGTGGAGGGGAGGTGATCCTGCGCGGCATCCCACGGCGAGCAGCCCCAGCTGGGGACACCGCCTCGCGTGTCCTGGAGCGAGGAAACCCCAAATCCCAGCCCTGCAGTCCTGGCTTTGCACCCTTCTGCGGGCTGCGGTGCTCCTGCTGGTCCCGGCAGAGCAGACGTGTCTCATTTTTGTGTGTATATGCATATATATATATATATACACACCCTTATATATATATATATATGCATATCTGTTATGTATATGTTCCTAATTTAACTCGGCCTCTCTCTTCTCCTTCCCCCTGCACAAATTCATCACGCAGAAGTCATGCAAAGCCAGGCACTGCAGGCAAATCTGTTCCGCTTTGTTTCTTTAACTGGTGACCAGGGGAAAAAATAAAATAAAATCCCAAGCAGACCCAGTTTGAGGAGCCCAGCAAAGGGCTGGGCTTGCCAAAAATCAAATGGGACCCGGGGAGTGCGGGTGCCTAGGCTCTCAGCACCAGCATTTTGGCAGCAGAAACCATCACAGCTCTGGTTTTGGCTGACCTGGGCTTCGGCCTTGGTTCTGGGTGGGATCTGGATGGGGCTAAGCCCAGTTTTTACCCCATGGGTCACAGGAGAGAGGGGACGGTGGGGTGGAGGGATTTTGAAATGAGCCTAAGAGACCTCCCCGCTGAATTCCCAGTCCTAAAACCAAGACGAAATCCCTTAACCTGATTTGAAAATCCAAGCCCCGGGGTGGAAGAGGAGAAGGCAGAGGGGGCTGGGGCACCCCGGAGACGCCCCATCCCCTGCGGCTGTGGGCACATCCCGAGGGGGAGGGTCCAGGGTAGGTTGGGTGCCGAACCCAAACCGCAGCGAGCCCGGCTGGAGAGGTGGCTCCTAGTTCCATATATGACGCCTGCAGTGCTCGACGGCCTGCGGGGAGAGACGGGGAGGATGGAGGGGGCAGGCAGAGCCCCGGGGAGATGTAGGGGAGCCGGGGGAGTGTGGTGGGTGGCGGGGGGGACGGTGACACCGCTTACATCGCACTCGATGGCAGTGGCCATGCTGGCACACCAGTATCCCGGTCCCCAGGCGCAGGGCTCTGAACCCAGGGGCGAGTCGCAAGCTCTGATTTTCTGCATGGAAAAAGGGGAAAAAGGCTGAGTGGGGAAAAAAGGCAGGGGACACCGCGGGGGGGGACAGGTCACACGCAGCAGGGCACACTCACGGTGCAGACAAAGTCGGGGTCCATCATCTGCACCAGGAGCCGCACGGCCGCCGGCTCGTACTGCACCACCAGCGCCTCGCACTGCGGGAGCGAAGCAGGTTTGGGGTGAGCCCCAGAAGAAAAGAAAAGGAAAAAAGGGGAAAAAAGGCAGTGGTTTGGGGACCCCCTCCAGCCGACCTTGCCGGTGAGGGGCGCGGGCAGCAGCTCGCAGCCCTTCTCCAGCACGTCGCCCAGCTCCGCCAGCGTCTCGTTCTTCAGCAGCTCGTTATCGAAGTAGGTGATGAGGATCTGGCAGACGTTGCAGAAGGAGCCCGTGGCCGGCTCGAGGGCGGCGGCCACCCCGCGGGCAGCCCCCCAGCGCGGGCAGAGGCGCAGCATGGTGCAGACGGCCCGCGGGTCGGTGGCCTCCAGCAGCATGATGACCACCGCCTTGCCGTAGGAGTCCACGAAGTCCTTGCACTGCCCGATGACGCCGTGGGGCAGCATGTAGCACACCTTCTCGATGTCGTTCACCAGCTGCTCCTGTTTGGGGGGGGTGAGAGCAGAGGAGGGTGATGCCGGAGGGACCCCACCGCCACCCTTCTGGCCGCCCCCCAGCCCCACGAAAGCCCCAGCTCGCCTCCGTCATGTTGTTCTCCAGGAGGCTCTCGGCCGCCCTGACGGCGAACTCGCACATCTCGCACAGCGGCGTGGCCTCCTGGGGCAGGAGAATAAAAAAAATATAAAAGGTAACACTGCCCCCACCCAGCCTTTAGGATTTTAAGGGTGGCCGGGGACGGGACAAGCCCCACGTACCCCGTCGGGGAGCAGCGTGCTGAGGAGCTGGGCCAGCTTCTCGGAGAGCAGTGCGTGCGTGGATCCCGATGATGAGAGTGCCAAGGAGGACGCCAAGGAGGGGCAGAGCCCCAGCAGGCTGCAGAGCTCCCGCGGGTCCTGGGGAGACACCCCCCGAATTTGGCAAGTTCAGCCCCCCATCCCCAGCCTCGTCGGGAAGGCAACGGGCATCTCGCTTACCTCAGCCTGCTGGGGGGAGGAAGGCGGCAAATAGAAAGGAAAAATGGTCATTAAAAAGTGAATGGCGGCAGTTGCAATGTAAAAGGGGGGGGAGAAGCTGTTGGGAAAGCAGCCCCCTCGCTCACCAGGTGCCGGAGCAGCCAGGCAGCCGTGTCCGCGTACTCGGCCAGGTAGCGCTTGCACTGTGCGGGGAGAAGGGGGCACGGTGAGCCCCTGGGGGGCTGAATCCCCCCCCAAAGCCAGGTGGCTTCGTGCCCATGGCACGGTCACGGTGACCTTACCCGCTGTGCCAGGACAGGTGCCAGGCCCTCGCACTCCTTCTCGGCACGGGACGCCAGGGAGCGGGCGAAGGCGCCCAGCTCCACCTGCACCGCTGCCACCAGCCGGGCGCAGTCCCCACACAGGTCCCCCGGCTCCTGCGGGATGACAGCGGCACCCCAAAATGTCAGAGGGGTAATTAACAGGGATGGGGCACTGACGGCAGGGTGTTGGTGGGGCTGGACAGGTACCTGGGCACGAGGAGCGTCCTGGGGCTGGAGCAGGAGCGGGACGCCGGAGATGAGGGGTATGGAGAGCTGGGCAAAGTCCTGCGCGGGGGCTGGCGGCGGCTCCTGAAACTTCAGGGCCCCCTCGGGGCTGCCCCGGGGCTGGCACAGCTTGATGGTGCCGCACACCACCTTCGGGTCCGACTGCGGGACCAGGGTGGTCAGGGCTGAGCCATCACACCCTACATCCACCCATCACTCCCCTTTTTACCCCAGGATGAGCCCCAGCCCCCTGGGGGCCATAGGACCCCCCCTTGCTCCCCATACCATGCCCTTTAAGGGTTTCCCCCCGCCCCAGGCTGTTACCAGCACTTGCTTGCCCAGCTGCACCAGGATGAGGATGCCGGTGTCCACCATCTTCTTGCACTTGACCGACCAGTCCTGGAAGGGCAGGTACTGGCATTTCTTATCCAAAAAGAGCCTCAGCTTTTCCTAGGGGACAAAGGGAGAGCTCAGGGCTGGGCTGGCCCCGCAGAGATGTGGGGGGGACACCGGTCTGTGCCCCCCTGCCCGTGATGACCCACCTCGGTGCGGTTGTCCTGCAGGATCTTCCCCACCGTGGAGACCACCACCTGGCACAGGTGGCACGGGATCCCTTTCTGCCGAGGCAGGGGACACATCAGGATGCTGCCGTGGCACCCAGACCCCCTGCATCCTCCCCACATCCCACCCTTGTGGCGTTTTGCAGGAAAGAAACCCTGCCCACCAGCCCCCCAGGCTGCCCTGCCCAGCTTTGGGGCCAGAAAAGGCAGGATTTGTCCACCAGACCCCCCCATTTTGGGGCAGGGCGACCCTTCCCCCCCAAATTGCTTTTACCCCCAGGTCTCGGTCCCAGACGGCGAGCCGGCACAGCTCCAGCACCCCGCACTTGGCCGCCGTCCCCACATCACGGCACCACTCCTCCGGCCGCTCGCCGCACTCGGGGAGGGGGCTGGCCCCGGCTGGGGGGGGAGATAAAAAGCGGGGGCATCAGCACCCATGGGGGCATCAGCACCCATTGGAGGGGCACCATCCCGACCCTACACCAGCTCCCCATCCCGCCCCGAGTCTGCCCACAGGTGAGGACAGATGCTGCTCACCCCTCCCACCCTGATTCACCTTGGCTTTCGCAACAGCATCGTTTATTCTTTTTATTTATTTATTTAACTATTCTTTTATTTATTTATTTTTACCCCCACCACCTGCTGCTGGCTCGCAAAGCTCCCCCAGCCCCAATCCTGTCGCTTTCTCCTTTTGCAGCCTGATAGGGACAGGCGCACCCGTGTGCCGTGGCAGCTTCAGCCCATTTAAAAGCACTGGGAACCTGGGGCACCCCCAGGTTGGGGCACCCTGCCTGGGCAGCTGAACACACTTGGAAGGAAAAACAAAACAAAACAAAACAAAAAAACACTAATAAATCTTGCAAAATAAATAATCCGGGGGTGCCAGCGTCGCTCGCTCCATCCAGGCATGGTGCAACACCGCTTGATAAGCGCCTACCAGCAGCGCCGGCCTTTTAATTGCCACCTTTGCGTGTCAGGATTAATTTTCTCGGGCACAATGGGGCAAGATCCATCCCTGCCAGGGGTTGCAGCCACCAGCGTGGGGCCGAGGAAGCTGCGGCAAAAGCGCTGGCGCAGCTCGGCAGCGCTGGGTGCGTTCAGCCCCTGTTGCCCCACCGGCCCCGGGGCAGGGTGAGCCCCGCTGCTCCCCATGGCAAGCATCCCACACACCTAGATGTGTGCGAGATGCCGCATCAGCTGAGAGATATATATATGGTATGCTTTTTTTTTTAAGTGTGGCGTTAGCATCAGGAGGAACAGGAATGGCGAGTCAGATGGGAGTTCAGGGGCAGCAACGACAGAAAAAAATGAAAGGGAAGAAGGAGGATGACTTACAACATGTTTCTGATCATATATACATTATATATATAATATATGAAACATATAAAATATATAATATATTATATATAAAATATGTAATATAAAATATATAACGTATATAATATAATAAATGTATTAATGTATAATATATAAACATATATATGATAAGATATAGGTCTAGGTGAAAAATGAGCACTGCAGATTTTCTCATCCAAACCTCTGCCTATTTTCTTTTTTCTAAGCCAATTCTTCCTCCCAAGCCTGCTTTGACTGAGGAAACCCACAAAAGCACGAGGTTTGGTGCCAGGAAGCCGTGGTGCCCCGCTCCCTGGCGGCACCCCGCTGCCTGCACACCACAGCCCGGCCACGGGGAGCAGCTCAGGGCTGCCCCAAGTCGATTCCCACCCCTCGCATCCTCCCAGCAGGACGGGTGCCCGAGAGCATCCCGGCTTTAATTGGCTTCAGCTCGCCCTCTCATCCCACGAGCTCGCCGGTAATTGCGGAAGGGGTTGCACGCGCCACCCAAAGGCTGCCCCAAAGCACCAAAGGCACGGATGAGGCTGGCCCTGCCCGACCCGTGGCCACAGCCACAACCCTGCCTGACCCATGGACACGGCCACAACCCGGCCCCGTGAGGGGACAGTCCCCTGAGTGCCTCTGGAGGACGCACAAGGATGGGGAGATGTGGCTGAAGCACACCGAGGCCTAGCTCTGCTCGAGCTGAAGCTGTGAAAAAAATCACACTGAAACGACACAAATAAAGGGTGGCCCAAGGGAAAGCGCGGCCATGGGGGTTCGGCGATGCTGTGGGGGCTGTCCCAGCACCTGAGAGCAGGGCATGAGGCGAGGAGCCGAGGCAGGAGCCCCGGCCGAGCCAGCCGAGCCTGGGGAACCGGTTGTGGTGCCAAGCCGGGGGCGGCGCGTGGGCCCCGCCGCCCCAGTTCCCGGCCCTCGCGCTCCGCCGCACACCCAAAACCCCCCCCTTTTTCCCCTAAACCCATGCCAGGACCCCCTCCAGGGGGGAGGAATTGGGGTTAAGGCTGCCAGGGGGAAAGCCTGGGAGGATTTGGCGAGGATGGCTGAGGGAGAGCCGGCACAGCAGGCTCCGTGCGGCCTCCCAGCACAGGGAGCAGACGAATTTTCCTCGTTTTCCTGGTGCTGGTTGGGATGCTCCTGCTGTCAGCTCATCTACCAGCACCAGGAGAGGGGCTCTTCCCTCTAAAAGGCTGGCTCTGCCATGTCTTTTTTCAGAGCTCAGTGAATTTCCCTTGGGAAGAGGTGGTGGCTCCCCATGGATCACGGGGCGGAAAGCTCCGGCTCCTGGGAGGGCTGTGCCTGGGGGATTTGCTTGCTTACACCCAAATCCCTGCTGCTGAGAGGGCTCCAGCAGCACCGGCTTCCCGCCCCCTGCTCCCCCTAGCCCTAAGGGACGGCTTTGGGTGGCGTTTTGGTTCCTCCATGGCACAAGCACCACAACGGCTGCTCCCACAGCACACGTACGCAGCCAGGGCTGAAGCCAGGCCAGGCGACAAGGCAGCCCTGCTGCCTCCCCACCTCCTCCTCCCCTTCCCACCCCATTTCCTCCACATCCCTCACGCCCCTACAAAAAGCCAGCTCCGTCCTATTCATGTTGTCCATAGGAGGAAGGGGACGAGCCCCGTTTTGCCCTTAAAATCACCTTCAAGGGCAAGAATGGGCAATTCTGCACGGACATGTTAAAGCACAACCTGCTGGAGAGTGCCTCAGCTGCCTGGCATAACCCCAACAAGGGACAAGGAAGTATTTGGAGTTTAAACCCTCTTGGTCTTTCAAGAGCAGGCAGACATGTCCAAGAGAGAATTTTGGATAGTTTTGGGGTCCAGAAGCAGTTTCTGGGCTCAGAGTCCTACCCGCAAGGCCTGAGCTTACCTCGATAGGAGCCCAGGCACACGGCCAGGACCAGCACCCAGCCCCTCCATCTGCTCTCCATGCTGTCCCCGAGTTAGTCCTGTGGCCGGTTCCTCCCCGTGCTTCTCCCAGACTGAGGAATCTTGGATCAGCTGGGAGAAGTAGTGAGAACAGACACCTACGCAGGGCAATTACCACACCCCTCTCCTTATGCCTTGATTATAAAATCATCACCAGCATGCAAGGGGAGGGAGGGACGGGAGCCAGGCAGGTATTCCCAGGAGGTCAGAACCAGCCCGACCTCATCCTACAGCCCTGGCCCAGCTGCTCAAAGCCAGCTTCACCACTGCTTGCAGTACAGAGCAGGCAAGACAGAGGAAAAGCCCTGTGCCCGGCTGGACAAGGAACAGATCATCATCATTCCCCCCCTTAAAAAAAAGTCAAGACCAGCAAAGTTTAGGACAAGTTAATGACTTGTGGATTTTAATCAACAGTGGATTTAGCAGTGGTGTACTTAGAGGCAGCCCAGCAGCTTGCTTCAAGCATTGGAAAGGAACATATTGCAGACTGGATTAAAATGAAACAAGGAATGAAGACACAGGAAAGCCACGTAAATGATAGCAGGCTTCAGTGCTGACTCGCAAACAGCTCCAGCAAGAACTCCCTCCAGCCTGCGCCGAGGAATTGCAACATCATGCTGTTGCCTCATGACAGGTATTGCGCTCATCCAGGGAACAGACCAGCAGTGGCAATCCCTGGCAAGCCTGCAGCTGCACTCAGTATTAAAAAAAAAGGCTTGACAGGACATGTGTGTTGCAATGGTAACCCAAATCCTGTCATTCAGCTTCAGATTCTCTGCTGGAGAAGCTTCAGGTGACATTTTGGGCTATGCAATCTTCTGCGGCAAAGGGACAGCGACAAGATCAAGATCCTTCAGCAGCTAGTGCACACCAAGGAAAGGAACACCACACACTTCCCGGTTTACAGAAGTTTTTATTGTTCATTAAAGAAGCCTTTGTGCAAAAATCAAGACAATGTTTTTTAGAAAGCAACTGCACGTCCCCCCACACATGTAACTCAAGCGGGTCGGGCGCCACATTCCACAGGAAGTGAGAAAACCGAAGAGATGCCCAGCAGGAGCACAGGACTCCCCCCCTCTCACCCTGCCCTAGAGGCTGCATGAATCGACCAACCCTTCACTGCTAAAAAACATGAAAATTAAAACCCTGTCAGCCTGTAAGAGCAAGAGCTGACCCACTCCCACCCCCCAAAAACTCACGCAGAAGAGGGCAACCCCCTTTAAAACAAAATCCTGTGCTATGTCCTGTGGTGCGACACAGGCTGTACCTCTAGGGCAGCGATGCTGAACAGAGCCCATCCTATCTGGCATATCAACCCCTGCTGGGATACACTGCTGGAACCACTGCACAAGCCTGCCAAGACAAAGCTACGGATATTTTACATCTTTAGAGGAAATTCGTTAGTTTTTTGAAGCAGTGAGCACTTCAGAGTTCTGTACACGTACAAACAGGAAAAACAAATCAGTATTGGTATCTGCCAATGCTGCCCAGACATTCGGTATGTACAAGTAGTAATAAAAAGCTGCAGTTGAGTGGTTTTCTGCTGAACTCCATAAAAATTAGTTTGCTTGTTCCTGACACACTGTCACTGGAGCTCCCGCCTCACCCAAGCGACCGCACAGAGAGGAGCAGTTGCTGGCACCTGTCTGTAGAGGACTGGAATTTTCAAAGCTCCACCTCAGCCCAGCTTCTCCTCCCCAAAGGTCTCTCCAGAGCTACTTCGGTGCCTTTTGGGGCGCTAACTTCCTCAGAATTTTGCACTCGATGCCGGTAAGGTGCTGCGAGGTCCGTCTCAAGCAACATGATTCTCATCCTCAAGCCCCTACCTCGTGGGCCTGACTTGTTTCCAGGGTAGCAGCCTGCCTTGGAAGTCTCCTGTTGAAAATTTTGGGCCATTTCAGTGGGATACTTTCTTACTGCACCACTGCAAAAGGCAGCTTGCCGGGTATGTCAAATACCTACCACAGTATTCTTATTCTGCCATCTCCACTCACTGCTAAGAAACATTTCCCAACAGAAATGGAAACTCCAGGGGAAAAAGAATTTGTACTTCCAGCTACTCAGAAGGGTGAATGCCAGCGAGACTGAGTGGCAGCAGTAGAAACTGCCTGCAAGCCTCACGGCACCTCTGAAGCTTTAGGTGACTGAAATATGCTGTGAGAGAAAACCAAAAGCAGGGAATGAAGCAGCCGCAAGACTAAGCAGAATTGAGCAACTAGGGCAAGGAAAAAAAGGGAGCCATTCCTTAAGGATGTCGCAGCATGCTTCAAAAGACTGAAATCCCACTGTTCAGGGCTCGACAATAAAACACCCACGCTGAGACTGAGCAGGCCAAGGAAATAAAAAGGACATGATCTAATACTGAGGGAGGGTTTCCTTGCCTATGATAACACCACAAGCTGTAAGCGTGGTCACTCAAGTGCAAACGCATCTCTTCACATACCAGGTACTTTGAAAGATAGCTGGGCACACAAAGCCCCCTTCCCTGCATTTGTAAAGCTTTGAAAATTCCAGCCAAAGGGATTCCAGGATTCAATGTTATCCCTTAGAGTTCCCCTACAGTCAAACAGAAAAATTAACATTCCAGCCAGATGTTAAAAACACAAAGCACGTAGTCCTTCCACTGCTGACTACAGAAAGACATTTGGAAGTTTAGTCACCATCTTTTTCTTTAAATTAAAAGATAGTAGTCTCATTTCATCTTCTCTGCCATTCTTCCCAGCACCTAAAAAAACACTTCAGCCTACCAATTAAAATCTACAACACACTGACTATTTTTAGGAGCATAATGAGTTAAACTGTACAATCAGAAGTATCTTTGTTAAGTCAACGATGAAGATCTGATCCTTCAACAGCAGCACTGCTACAGAAGAGTTACAATAAAGGAACTTGAAGGTCAATTTGTTAATGAGGCAGAGAGGAGGGACATTTGAGATACAGCTCTCCAGCCTCGGCCCACACTTTTAAGAGCCATGGCAAACTTTCAGAACTGGAAATACTTCTTCTAGTTCCATACATGACGTTTGCAGTGATCAACAGCCTGCAGGGAAAGACATAGCATACGTGAGTGGAAAAAAGCCTGTTAGCAAACAAACGGCCACTTATAAATACAATTAACACCTTCTGAGCTAAGGTCTTGGGGATCAAATCTGTTTTTCTTTAAGCAAGTGATTCCATGGAGGACTACAGCAAATAATGTTTTTGTCCCCACCCAGAAGCTTCAGGAAAGAATGATTATGTTCCTTGGCCAGTAAAAGGCCTGGCAGAGAGCATCAGCCTACAGCAATACTGAAATTTCTAGAGTCTGATCAGAGGTCATGACATGGTCTGCTGGCTCTTGGGTCACAGGCTAAATATAAAGCTCAGGCTGCACCTTACTATAGATTCTGAAATGCCTGCAGAGAAAAAGAGGACAGGGGTGAGGAATCAGGCTGCTTGAGAAAGCTAAGAGCTATGGAAAAACCTCTGATCAGACTCACCCACCTCTAGCTAGTCTAGCTAGTACCCCCTTGCTTTTTGAAACTGAAATTCATCCACTGAAGAGCGTGCTACAGAAGCCAGAAAAATAACTTTTAAGGAGGTACCAAAGACCATCAGGAAACTCAAGGCAGAATCCTGCCGTACGTACGTTGCACTGAGCAGCAGTCTCCATGTTCTTACACCAGTAACCAGGACCCCAGACACAAGCATCATCCCCCAGGAGGGGCTGTTTAGCTGATCCACAGACTCCCAGTTTCTGTGAAAAGAACAGCAGCACAGTCAGTCTCTCTCCATTTGCACCTGAAGACCTTGACTGCAGCCCCACAGCCGAGCTTCCACCTGAACAAGTGGAGGAGCAAAGCTGAGGTTGCTTCAGGAGCTCCCACAGCACTGTGCTCCGCTGACAGCTGCAGGGAATCTGCAGCAAATCTGGCATAAAGAAGAATTAAGTTACCACTGCTGCTTCACATCAGGCCTTGAGAAACAGTTTCTAGGAAGGGACTGTTCAACAGCTGCCACTTCACTTCCTCTGGCCATATTCAGGACACACTATGCCCCTTGCTGAACCCCAGCAGCTCCTTCCCTCTGTCCTTCCTTGCACAAGGCTGGCAGTCACACAGCTGCCCATTCATTATGCCCAAGGCCTTGCACGAGTGAGTTTGCTCCAAGCATTCAGCGTGCTCATCTTTATTCCAGCAGAGTTTCTGCATGCGAGGCACTGAAAGGCGCACGGGACTGTATCGGAGCCCATCCTGAATAGAACTGAACGCCATACTCACAGTGCAAACAAAAGTGGGGTCCATCATCTCTGCCAGGAGTTGCACAACCACGGGTTCATACTGTTCCACAAACTGAACGCACTGTAACAACACACAGGTCAAGAGATTCATTTGTTAAAAGAGATTCATTTGTTAAAGCCCTGAAAAGGTCAGAGGAAGATATGCTCTTTAGCAGGCAGGCCCAAGCACCCCATTAATACACACCAAACCAATTAATTAACCAGAAACTTGAGCTCTGCAGAGGAAAAAGGGTTTAGCAGCACATTAACTACAAAGCTAGATCATTTTTAGCTGGCTCATACCTGTCTGCAGACACAGTATGTACAAGGCTACGATTAGAAAGCTGTCAGAAGGAAGAGAACCAAAGCAGGACGGGCTTTGATTTGCAATGTTTAGCCTCTGACAGCAGAGATCACTGCGATTTCAGGAGGAAAGCACGCTCAAGTTGCAGACAAACATCCTAAACATGCACTCATAATGCCTCTTAAGTATCTTTAGCCCAAGCAGCTAGCTGCACAAGTGCTTGCCATCCTCAGCAGCCAGCCCTCTAGTGGAGAGGCCATCTCTGAGGCACAGAGATGTTGGCACTCTCAGCAGAGACTAATGGCACCGATTAATAAGGCAACCACAGCTATTACACAGCTGCACAGCAGTTAGCAGGAATAGCTGTTTCACAGCTGCTTTAAGCCTGAGTATTAGATGCCTGCTACACTTCTAAGCAGTCACCACTGCTGAGCTGACACCCAGCAGCCACCTAATAAGATTTTCAGGTAAATCTTGATAGCAATGGCCTAACAGGTGTTGCCTTTTGCTATCTCACTGGAATTATGCCAGCCTACTTCCAATTACTTTGTTAATCCCCTGAACAAGATCAGTGAGGTGGGGAGAGAAAAAAAAACAACCTTCAGCTGTTCTACCCACTGTTCTCACAGGATTTCCAGGCAGACCTTTACTGACTGCAAATTAGGACAACAATCCAGCCAGTCAAGCCCTTGAAAGCCTCTGTCTATTCAAAGGGCTGCCAACCCCCAAGGATAGGGAATGGGAAAAATCTGGTGGAAAACCTAGTCCCTCCACACCCCCAAACTCCTTCCAACCTCTGCAGAGGGAAAGATTTGTCCCACTCCAACATGTTATACTGACTGTTCTCATAAAAAACACCAGGAGACACTACCCCCTAGCTTTTCCAAATACTCTGCAAGATGTTTTATCCTTCTGTTCATCTTTGACTGCCTTGTTTCGAGTGGTAGGCAGGCTGCCATGCAGCCAGGACTGCCACAGATGAAGCCTGCTCTCCCCCACCCCACAGAACTTTTTTTTTTTTTAAACTCCCTTTCTCTACTGCACACAAGAGGTTGCTATGCTTTTGTGTTAACTAGTGAAGAATACCAGACCATCAGCAAGATCACTACGTTTTAGCCTGCTACATGAGATGCTTTACCTGATCACTGACTGACTCTGGCAGGAAGTGGCAGACTTTTTCCAG